AAAATTTTGCCCTCATTTTATTTATTTATTTATTTTTTTCTTTGATCACCAGGAAAAGCCCAAGATGTTTGGCAAGGATGACGAGATCAACGTGCAGTCCGTACACAAGAAGCTGAATGAGATCATGGCTGCCCGTGGCAAGAAGGGCACGGACAGGAAGGAACAAATTGAACTTCTACACGAACTGATGAACGTCTCCGATGAGAACAACCTTGGACCAGCCATTCGCATCAAGATCCAGTTTAACATCATCATGTCCATCTATGACTACAACCCCTCGGTGTCTGACCCAATGAAAGTGGAGCTGTGGGACAAGGTATGCTCAGGGGACTGCACTCGGCATATAGCATCTCATTCCTTGTCACCAAATGATTGATAAGTATAGGGCATGATATTTTGAGTGGATAAGGATATAGAAATAATTTCTTTATATACTGCTTACCAAGAATAAAGTTGACCTCTTGAATGAGATAATGAAATGATAAACTTAGAACTTACAAAGACTTAAGAAGGACTAAACCAACAATAGAAAGGGAGAAAAATGTGAATAATAAATTGACCTGGCTAACACAGCCAGGATTGAGTAATGAGAGGTTATTACTATAACAACACTGTAAAGGTATCACCCTACTCAGCTGTTTCTTGTCTTGTTTGTCCCTCCAGGTCCTCATTAAAATCAATGAGTTGTTGGACATGATGATTGCTCACCCAGACCTGGTGATTGGAGAGCATATCACAGAGGAGAGTGAGAGCCTGGAGAATGCTCCCCTGCTTGTGCGTGGCTGTGCCCTCACTATCGTTGAACGGATGGATGAGGAATTTATCAAGTTGCTTAAGGTAAGGTCTTTCATCTAGATTAAGTAGAATAATTACTGTTTTGGTTATATTGCAAATGGAAAGCAAAACAAAAGGAATGTAGTAAGGATCTAGATTTGTCTCTTAATTTGAAACCCAAAAAGATAAACTTCCTATGACTAACCAGCAAATGTATTCCTTTTCAAGGCCTGCGATGCTCACAGCAATGAATACATCGTTCGTCTCCGTGATGAGATCCGTGTTTGTGCTATCATTGACAAACTTTTGAAGTATGAGGAAGAGAACGGAATGCCCTCTGACATCTGCCGCATCTATTTGAGGAAAATTGAGCATCTCTACTATAAATATGAGCCTCGTGCTGCCAAACAGGCTGTGGTAAGAAGAGGCAATAGTTTTGTACATATGTCCTTTTATTTATTGGTTTATATACATTTGGAGGATGTCTGAACTTGATTACACCTGATTTTTCCTAGTTTAGTAATATTTGCATAGTTTCTTTGATTTATAGCTTTGTACATATTATTCAATCGGTAAATCAAATGAAAGTGAGATCGGTGATTAATGAATTTATTTTTGCATATGAATTACAATTACCAATCTCCTGCTTCAGGGTGAGATCCCCAAAACTGATGACACCAGTGTGGAAGAGATGGACAGGCTCTGCAAGTATATCTATGTGCGTGACAACACAGATCGTCTGCGTACACGTGCCGTGCTCTGTCACATTTACCACATGTCTCTGCATGACAAGTGGTATGAAGCACGTGATCTGATGCTGATGGCTCATCTGCAGGTATGCTGGAAATTTTGTTTTTGTTGAACTGTTATTTTTTGGCAGTAATAGCTAATTTGTGATGATTCTAAACCTTTCTTGTAATGATTGATTGTGGTTATTGTTGGAACCTAACTTTATGATGGATGTGGGTAAGGGATAGCTGTTCACATTGGGCTTTGCTTTTATTCTTTTGGATAAGGTAACTTCAAATTTATTTAGATTTACTTCATTTCATCATTATGAAAAGAATTCATAAAATATACTACTATTTTGGAAAGAAGTAAATCTAGTATGCAGCTATTTTTTGGTACATTCTTGTAAGTTTTATGGTAGGACAGTATATTGTAATAATTTTACAATGATTTAAATTTTCTTGCAGGAAACCATCCACCACTCAGATTTGCCAACCCAAATTCTGTACAATCGTACCATGGTTCAGCTTGGTCTGTGTGCCTTCCGTCATGGCAACATCCGTGAAGCTCACAACGCCCTCTTGGACATCCAGTCTGGTGGTCGTGCAAAGGAACTTCTTGCACAGGGCCTTCTTCCCCAGGTAACAAGTGTTTTAGATTACTTTCTTTATTTGTTATGTGACATTTGGATTAGAGGTGTAAATGTGGGTTTTCGTGGCAATTTGAAATGTTCAAGGTAATAAATATGGAGAGATACTATTAAAAGTTTGTTCCCATATAGCGACAACATGAGCGAACCACCGAGCAGGAGAAGCAGGAAAAGCAGAGGCAAATTCCTTTCCATCAACACATTAATCTGGAGGTAAGGTTACAGTGCTGATATTTTCTTTACTTTTATTGATTAAACATTTGTTGGAAAAGGTGTGGATCAGTGTATAAACTTTTGAATGAATATCTTGTATTGGTTTCATCTAGAATTTTCCCACATTTCTTCTTAGATGCTGGAGTGTGTTTACTTGGTCTCAGCTATGCTTATTGAGATCCCCTACATGGCTGCCCATGAATTTGATGCTCGTAGGCGTATGATCTCCAAGTCATTCCACCATCAGCTGAAGAATTCAGAGCGTCAGTCTCTGGTGGGCCCTCCCGAGAGTATGAGGGAACACGTGGTGGCCGCTTCCAAGGCCATGCGCAACGGCAACTGGAAGCAGTGCAGGTGGGCAAGCTGGGTAGTGTACTCTAGCTGCAAATCTGGTTTGGTAGGAAGTATAGGATATGTAGAGTGTATCAGTTCAGTCAGTGTTTAATATAAGTATGTTGTATTCTTTTTATGAGTAGCTATTAACAAATGGTTTCTTCAGGAATCTCTTGCTGAATGACAAGATGAACTCCAAGGTGTGGGACTTGTTCCACGAACCTGACCGTGTGCGCACCATGCTGGGAGGCAAAATCCAAGAGGAGAGCCTGCGCACATATCTTTTCACCTACTCTCATGTTTACGACTCCATCTCCCTTATCAAGCTGTCAGAGATGTTTGAGCTGCTCCATGGGACAGTGCATGCCATTATTAGCAAGATGATCATCAATGAGGAAATTATGGTGAGCAATGAATACTCGTGTCTCCTTCATTTATCTGTTATATGTTATGCTGTAGTGGATGAATAATGTTCAGGTAAGGCCACATGATCTCTGAATTCACATGTTCATTTCAGGCATCCCTTGATGAGCCAACTTCCTGCCTTGTGATGCATCGCACAGAGCCTTCATCACTGCAGTCTCTTTCCCTGCAACTGGCAGATAAGCTCTATAACTTGGTGGAGAACAATGAGCGTATCTTGGACCAGAAGCCCTTTTTCGCCCGCGGAATGCAGGTAATGTTGAAAGGAGGCATTTACAGGTGTTGACAAATGGAAGATTTATCTTTTTTTTATTTGTTTTTCTTTGTGCTGTCCTCTTTTTTTTCTGGGAAAGTAATCCTTTGATGGAAAACATAGTGCCTATATGATTAATTTTTTGTTCAAAGGGCGGTGGGTACCGTGACCGTCGTGAGAAGGGTAGCTGGGGAGAACGAAGAGACCGCCGAGACCAGCGACGAGACAGAGATTAAAGAGGATTCACACCCAAGGTAAGCAATATAACAAAGGGATTGACAGACTTTATGGTCTGCTTGGTTTCGTGAAACCAATTTTATTCATGATTATGAGAAATATGAAAACCACTTCAGATGTGTTTTTCATTTTTATAGATGAATTACATGTGTAATTTATTACCCTTTATAAATCCATTTTAAGTATTACCATATGTACACTCTTTTAATGAGAATTGTCTCTGGAACAGGTGGCAGCCAGCAAGCCTCATCTTGTTTGACGTTCTGGTCAGCATTCATGTGGCTGTTGAAATGCTGTCGTTGATTATCCCGACCTCCTCCCCCTCTGCAAGGAAAGGTCTGCTGGGGCCTGCCTGTGTCCTACAAAGCAAGGCTTCTTTAGTGCTTTGCCATTAGTATACTGCATGTTTTTTATACAGTCCATTTTGGCTATGCTTTGTAGTGGCATGGGTGGGCCCCAGAAAACACTTATGAACAGTTGAATGTATATGAATATGATATATGAAGTATTTTAATTGTTCTTGGTTATTAATCGTCATCACTGAGAGGATCTGTAGAGGAATCGGTTAATAAATTGGTACCATCTTCTCATTTGTTTTATTAGATCCATATAATGATTAATTTGCATCTAGATATGCTTCATATCTAACAGGAGGCTCCTTGCCTTTCCTTTTTTTAAATTCTTATTATAAGGTTTATTTGTGTGCTTTTGGATTTAATACTTGTAATATAAAGCTTGAAACTCTTGAGAAAGTTGTAAAGATAATTAGATAATTAATCACATACAAAAGTACTATTTAAGTATAGTACAGACATAACCCGTCCATAGACAAGAAACCCATGATAACATTAAATAAAGTTATTAGTCACGATGCTGCACTGTCACATGAGCTGCTTTGGTATTCATGAGCAAGAAAGCTTTTGACAGCAACACCATGCAGGAGGAAGGTGCTAGACAATTCCATAAGAATAATTTAGTTTGTAAATCCCAAATAGCCCTATGAAGCAGAAAACCAGAAATAGGTTATGGTCCAAATTCAGGTAAGTTTGCCTAGTGACTGATTTATTTTGTTTATCTAATGTTGTATTATGGAATTCTGGAGTAAATGGTAACTTGGGTGTAGAAAGTTTTCTCATATTGCTATTTGCAGGTTGTTTGGTGCAGTAGTCCCCCTTTTCTTCATTCAACATTTAAGTAGGATGCAGATCAGCTCTGTTGTTGATGAGCCTGTAAGTATAACCTCTACCTGTAATAAAAGCTTAACATGTATTATTTTTAAAATTTATTAGTATTGCACTGATGGATACCTTTATAAAGTTTGTATTGAATTCTGCTGTACACGCATTAATGTTAATTCTTTAGTCAAAGTTCACATGATGTTTCATTACTTTCGTTCTCCTGACAAAAATTGATGTCAACCTGTAACTGACTTTAAATAAATAACACTGCAATTAGAAGTTTTCATGATTTGGTGCTATATCATTTCCATGTATATTTGACAGGATGTAAGCTGTGAGATCCAGATTCTGCAAGGCTTCATCATTATCGTAAGTATAATTCTGAAGCTTTTAAAATTTTAATGGTTTGCATAGCTTTGAGTATATTTTTCAAAGTGCTCTAAACAGCATGAGTGTCAGGATCCCATGCATCTACATGCAAAGTTAATCTTCCAATGCTAGAATCTAACTCCAGGGAATGGGGATGCACAGTTAACAAAAACTGGTCACTGAACTGGCACTGTGAGCTCACAAAGAGTCACTTCAATGTAGTGTACTCATAGTTTGTCCAACTCTTGATCTTGATGCCTAGGTGCAGTATGTTCAGCAGATCACATGCAATTATCTGCTGAGGTAGTTGGTTAAATGGCCATTACATCCTGCTCAATATGATGGTTCATTACTTTCGTTCTCCTGACAGCTTTTTGATGTCAATCATAAAACTGACTTAAGAATGTACTAATACTAAGGAAAATTCTTTTATATCATATCTATATACTTTTTTTCTATTTTTTTTGACAGGATCTTTGTTGCAAGACTGAGGTTGATCAGCAATATTAGGTAAGCTTATTCATATTTACAAATTACTGAAGTCACTTGAAACTTTTGACTTGTAAGCTTGAATTGCTCTTCTGTATTTTTTTAATGATGCTTCATTACTTTCGTTCTCCTGAAGGCATTTGATGTCATTTTATAAACTGATTAAAATAATTGTCATGTATGAATTAGTGTTATGTTTTGTTCCTTCATTTTTTTTCTTTTAATTACAGATGTAATATGGATCTGCATTTTGCAAGAATTCCTGCAAGAGTTTATTGAAAAAAAGTTAAGATATTTCCTATTATTTCATATATCTTTAAAAATTTGCAAAAATTTATTGCTCTCTGATCATTCTTTAGAAGAAGTTTTATCTTAATTTTTCTTATGATGTTCCATGACTTTCGTTCTCCTGACTGAATTTGATGTCAATCTTTTAACTGATTTTAGATACAGTTTACTTTAATTAAGGTTTTATTTGAAGTGATACCATATGCCATTTCCATATTTTTGACAGGTGTTGAAATCCAAATTCTGCAAAGCAAGATCTACATTTTGCATATCCATAGGTAAGGTATTTCTTGTTATTTTTCTGTTTTTTAAAGCTTTCCCAAATTGTTATTTCATATGATGTATCTTTACTTTCGTTCTCCTGACAGTTTTTTGATGTCTTCCATATACTGAATTTAAAAATAAAGCTTGATTAACTCTTGTCTTGTGTAAAATTATAGCCTAATCAGTTCCCATTATATCTCAACAGGTAGCTATTACAGTTTGTCTTTTCATCATAAGACTGACTGTTCAAGGAGCAATATGTATTTGAGGTATGTTGTTTTTGAATATGAGGGGCTATTTACTAAGCTTCATGATATAGATGATCTTTGATGTCTTTATATCCTGTTATTTTATGATACCAAGTTTTATGTAATTCTCTAGATGTTTACTTAACTGTAGATGTTTCACCATCATCATTTGGCATTTGCAGATTGTCATGTTTATCTTTTTTCACCAAATAACAATGGATGCTGTAGAGCTGCTCTCTGTATTTAACTGTAAGTAAAAGCTCTACATGTGGTAAAATTTCTGCTAAATCCTTACAAAACCTATTTTTGATGTGTAGCATACTCTACAAAAGTTATATTTGAGGATAGTTCAGAAAAAGTATTTGTAATTTCTTTGAACTAAAGTTTTCATATAATGATGTTCCATTACTTTCGTTCTCCTGACAAAAATTGATGTCAATCTCTAACTGATTTTGTATAAGTAAGGCTGTAATAATTGTTTTTTATGAATATTAGCCATATGTCATTTCCATGTATTTTTGACAGAATGCAAGCATTGAGATCCAGATACTGCAAGGCCTACTTTTGGTATGTTGATGTCTGAGGCTTTTTGTCATGATGTTCTTGATTTAATTGAAGTGAATTGTGTGATAGAATAATGTACAGTATTTATACATTTTTAAGATAATTGAAAATATATATCAAATGTAATTGGTAATTTTTACCGGAGAAATTAAGTGTGATTTATTTATTGTTACTTTGTTAAGCAAAAGATCTGCTGAGATATGAAACCACCTGTTCATTATGATGCTTCATTACTTTCGTTCTCCTGATTGATGTTGATGTCAATTATAAACTGAGATTTCAGTATATGTTTTAAAGTACAAAGTGTTTATATGGTTTCAATATGTATTTTGTATTTTGACAGGAATTGGGGCATTGGTTGCAAGACTCGCCCCACCATCATTCAGCTGTATGAGGTAAGCTTGTTGCAATTTACTAATTGCCAAAATTGCATGATGCTAGGGACTTAAAAATGTGTTACTCTTGAATATTTTTTAATGATGTTTCAATACTTTCGTTCTCCTGACAGCATTTTGATGTCATTTATTAACTGATGAAAATAATTTGTTTATATACATATTATATCATTTCTGTTCCCACATTTATTCATCTTTTCTTTAAATAGAGCAAACAAGGATCTGCATTTTGCTAGCCGTACTGAAGACTTAATTGAAAAAGGTAAGGGCTTTCTAGTGATTTTCAGTAGGTCTTTAGCAGTTCATTATTTCACATGATGTATCTTTACTTTCGTTCTCCTGACAGTATTTTGATGTCATAGATTTGCTGAATTAAAAAAAAAAAACATTGCTCATTTGATTCTGACTTTTATGAGATTTTAGTCTAATCCGTTTCCAATATCCTATAACAGGTATTCCAGTAAATGACTGCATCATAAGGCTGACTCTTCAAGGAGTGATAAACTGTTGAAGTACGTATTGTTATGTTAATGTTTACTAAGCGCCACAGCAAACAGTCGTGTCTTGACATTGTTTACCAAAAGAGATTGTCATATAGCTATACCTTTCCAAGTTTCCTTCATGTGATGCTTTTTACTTTCGTTCTCCTGATAACATAATTTTGATGTTGATTATTAACTGATAAAGTTTACAGAAGTATATTATTGATGGTTTATTGTTGTGCTTTACTATTTTTAAATGCTTTTTACAGGTTGAAATGGTATAAATGGGAACCAATTGAAATGGCTGCTCTTCCTTGGATGAACTAAGGTAAAATGTCAGTTTGTATTTCTGGAAGTAGATTGTGACAGTGGGATTTGGTGGGCAGCAATAATACTGTGTTTCATGTGATGTTTCTTATTACTTTCGTTCTCCTGATAGTGCTTGATGTCAAAATGACCACTGATAATGCTAGAATCAAAGCACATGAAGTTGTAGCAGCAGTTTTGGTTTCATAATTTATTGCTCTTCCACAGATATAGCAGTTACCAAAGGCTATCCATGCAGCCATTGCAACAGCTGTCTTAGTCAAGGTATTTTCAAACTTTCAACTCTTTTATACATAAATTCTTACACTTAAAGGGCTCCTAACACTAGCACATTTTCCAGAAGTTTCCACTTCCCTCTACCAGCCCAAATTGCTGAGGTCTGCTGCTGTGCTATAATGATTTGGGCATGGAGATAGTGCACAATCAGCTTGAGGGTTGAGGTTAGATGTCAAAGGATAGGGGGGGGGGGGCAGTGCTAGCGTGATTGGCACTTTACAGTCAGACACCTTGTATGTAAAAAGGCAGTGATTTTCCTAACACATTGTAGATTACATTTTATATTTTAGGACATGGTACATATATTCCGGCATATTTTGCATTTAGCCAGTTTAGCATTTAGCATTTACCAACCTGTTAAGTGCATTACTGTCCTCTTAAAATAGTAACTAATAAATTCTCTGTACGTCAGTTTTTACCATTTTTAAATGATGTGAAGTACTTTCGTTCTCCTGACAGTTCATGATGTCAACATTATTTGCTGATACAGCATAAAATGTATAAAATAGGTATGTAGATATTTTATATTTATTTAGATATCCATCTTTGACAGATGTTTGGACCATGGGTTTTAATTTTGATCGTGAATGAAGCTGATCAAGCCTGTGGAAAAGACCAATGATTTTTCATGTTGGTGTGAAGGTAAATTTTGCTTTTGTTATTCAGTAACTTTAACAAACCCTTGTGTATTTATGGTGTTATATTCTCATCCACATGATGTTTTAATACTTTCGTTCTCCTGACAGCCATTGATGTCATATTGTATAGCTGAGTAGTTCCTTATGTACTGTGAGAGCATATTTTTATTGTAGCTTACTAATATTAGTGTTTAATTTGTTCCAGATATTGATGTGAATGAGTCGCAGTACTATTGGTCATGTTGTATCTCTGATCATATTGAAGATTGCTGTGTTCGTGATCCTTCAGTACTCCCGTGACAAGAAAGTGGATCTGCAGTTTTGCTATTCCTTTATAGATATGTTGATATTTTCTTTGATGCTGTAAATAAACTGGATTGTCTTACTGAACTGGTTTCTATAAATCGACTATTTTCCTGTATTCTATCTTTACCCCCACCCCACCCAAAAAAAAAAATAAATAAATAAATATATATATATATATACACACATGTATACAAAGTGAGAGTGAGCGTGAGCGTGAGCGTGAGCGTGTGCGTGAGCGTGAGCGTGTGCGTGTGCGTGTGAGAAAATGGGAGTGGGCATTAACATTTCATACATAATGGGATCTGTAATTTTAAACATTATCCTGTATATGAAGACCTCTTTTGTAAAAATGTAAGGGAGCTTTAAATATCAGAAATAAACGGCGACAGGTGTCTCTTTTAGAAAGGTGGGATGAAATTCGCGGAAAAGATACTAAAGTTAAAGAACAAGCCCTACAAAATCCGAAATATTCCTCTATCTCCCCCCCCCAATCCCTTGCTTGTTTCCGTGGGGGGGGGGGGGTGGCTTAGGAGGAGAGGACTGGGACCCAATGCTGGGATCTTCCTTGCCTTGGGCCTCAGCCCTCGACAACCAATTTTGCACGGCCTTTTTCCCTCCAGCATTTTTGTTTCCGTCTCATCTCCAACTATCCACTTCCTGAGGTGTGAGAGCCACGCTGTGAAAGGATGAAAGGCAGACTTTGTGCCAGTCCTGAATGGCCTGAGGGAGCCATGGGCACGGTATTCCCTTGCTTTAGTTGCCTAGCCCTTACCCCCCAAAGGGGACCCTGAGGGGTGGAGTTTCTCTACCCAATATACTCTAGGCTTACAATGACCAATAATGATGTTATACCCTTATTAGGGACATTGAGGCTTGCGTCTTCATCAAATAGCCCCACTAACTCAATCTCCGAATTCTCTGACCCCAGGCTCTCCTTTAACCACGACTCGGAACACAACTACTACTCTCGCGTTAAGTAATCAGGCGACAGCGCAACCAGACAAACCTTGTACCTTGCATGCTTACATTTAATAAAAGTAACAAAATCGAGTATTTCATTATTTTTTTTTTGTAGATTATATGATAAATGTATAACTGATAAAAATTATCGAGTTATCTATATTGGACTATTGGTCATAAATACTCGAAAAACCTCGTATTTCCAAGCCTTTTCCTGAATAGTATAGGGAGAACCGTAAATGCTCAGGAACCACTGAAGATCAATTTTCTTGAGTTATTGTTTTCAGTCTTTTGCCATAAAGATCTCATACAAAGTCATGCGAAGGGAACTACATTACCGCATTTCGAGTTTTATTGTCGCATCCATAATGTGACAACAGAGTAATCACTAGGGTCACTTAAAAAAAAACAACTAAATATCTATTTCGGACCCCTCCATTCCCTTGCTCGTTATCGTAGGGGGGTTAGAAGACGGTGACGGTGAGGCCCATTGTAGGGGATTTACCCTACCTTGCCTTCAGCTCTTGCCTCAACTAATTTTGTAATGGTCTTTCCTTCTTTCTTTTTCCTATTTCATCCCTTTGTTCTGTCCACTTATCCTAATCGATAACTCTTTTGCCGTTTTCGCCACTGTACTTTGATCAAAAATGCTCCCTACTCCCTTAACTCCTTCCGTTTCAAACATCTTTTGCCTTATACTACACCCCCACCAGCTCTCCTTCTACCCTTTTCACTACCATACTATCCTCTAGTACTGTCCAACCTGTAAATGTACCTTAATCAGTAACTCATTCCTAACCCTTTTCGCTACTCTGCTTCTGCGATCGTACAAAAATGTTGGAGGAAAGTGTATTCCAATCAATCGTCACACTTATTTTTCTATCATTTATCTGCCATTACTTTAGACTAAAACAATACAGATTTTACCCTTCTAATACCGCTTGTTGCATTAAAATATGACGATCGGTTTGTTTTATAAAAGTTATCCCTACCCCTTTCTAACAACTGCTAGATCGCCGTAGCGAACTGATCCGAAATACGGTAAAATGGTAACTGCCTATTTCAGAATATATGCTCGTGGTTATATCTGTTTTGTGTGTGTGTAAATTATACATGTGCACGTTTGTGTGCCTATGCATCTATTTAGCTGTGCATGTGCAGACATGGAGTGGATGTCAAAATAGGACGTCTCTAGCCAAGAAACGCATCTAGTGTAAATGGTAAAGTATCGTAAACTGCCGCTTAATAGGTCAAGAACTACGGCTTTGTTAAGGGACTTTAAACAGATTGCGCGACACGTTATAATATCCACTTTGTTAGCTCTTCAGATATATAGATGATCAAAGTGAGCAGATGTTAGACGGCGCGCAGCCTCGGCCTGCAACGCCTGTAGACTTGCAAGAGATGGGACCCTTACCTGAAAGATTTTGTCCTTTTTCGTGGAGCTTCATATATCAGGTAGGTTTTGGTACAACAACCATTGCAACTAAGATCATCCGCTGATTTCTTTTGTTTGTTTGTTTGTTAATGTCTAGGGATGCTGTACAATGTATCACAAGCCACAAGAAATCTTTCCTTCGCACAAACATACATAGAGCATCTCCGTATATTCACAACTACCGTCCTCGCCAATCCCTTGTTCGTTGTTATGTAGTGAACGATTTCACAATATCACGTCGTCTCACTCCAGGAGCTATAAATCAGTGTTAAATATCTCCTCTCACCTCCACCTCTCCCACAGACATACGAATATTACCCTCGAATTGAAACTGATGAACTCAAGGTGGCAACACACTCCTATCAGAGCCGCGGCGTGGCGACAAAATTTTTATTAATTTTAATTCCAAGTCTTTATCATAACTTTCTTTTTTTTTCATCTTCACTTTTATTTATTAAATTTCACTGAGTTTTACGTACTTTCACAAGTTTCATAATGGTTCTTTTATGAAGTTTATTCATTTATTTATTTTAAGTTAATAATTATTTTACCAGTTTTATTACACTAGTATATTATTTTTGTATTTTTAACTTGATTTTAACGTTAGTTTTATCATGATTAAAGCCCTTCGAAAGAACCATATAACTTGAGTTCTCTCGCGTGGAGAGGAGGGGGGGGGGGGCAAGCAAGCGGGAGGATTGGTCATGTGCCTGTTGGGTTGCTTCAGGATTCTCTGGAATGGGCCTTCCTTTCTTAAAGCTAAATGGTTGTGAAGACTGGAAGTGAGAGATATCTGTCAAGTTATTTCCTTGGAAAGTGACAGTGTTTCGGTGCCTTTGCTTATTTATTAGTTTTAGTGAAGTGTTTTGTATATGGTTTAGTACTTTTATTGCATTTATTGTTTTTACGTTTGTTTTACCACTTTACTGTTTTATAGGGATCACCCCTGCCTCAGCCCCCGCCTCATCTAATTTTCCTTCTCTTCTTCATCCCCTTGTGTCCACTTATCTAAATCTTTAAAGTATTTACCCTTTACAATACTTTGCCATACTGCTGTGCGACCTTTGATATCTGGTACATAGATTTGTTTTGACCATTGGCCATTCTGGAAATCCATAAACATCGCCTTACTGAACCAAAAAACTTTCTTACCCCACCCTGTCGTTACATTTGTATACGCCGGCTAATGACCTTAGATGATCAATGAATAATTTAAAATAATTCGTTTTTCCACCATATGTGTTTAACGTGAAGACACTTTTCGTGCTATTTCATGTCATCGTTTAAGCTCTGCCCGTCCAAACCTTAAAACAAACTTGAAATTTGTTACTAGGAGGTCCACTTCATATTGATTGTGTTTATTTTCTGAGAAAGTTTTGATCACGTGATCTATATTTAGCTTTCCATGGATTGTTTCTCTTCCTTACTGTAGAAGGGCATAAGAATGTCATTAAGAGTCGCCATGCTTCGTATGACATGAACTGGATGAATAAGATTTATGTATACTTTCATTGGTCACGTTTTGTACAGATGCCAGGACCCATTTGGGAGTCTCATAAGATAAAAGGTAGTTGATATCACAACTAATTGGTTATCAATTCACTTCAGTGGTATACAAAATAAGATTCTTTATCTGTAGGTAGAGTTTTGGTCAAGTGACTTTAGCCTCGTTCTGTATATATGGAAAATTAAAATTATTGTCGCCTGGGACCTGGTACGAGAAGTGCAGAAGATAAATGTATTATCTTTCCAATCACTTTTGGGGAAAAAAAATAGGGTGATATGTGGTGAAATTCTTTCCAGGTGTATGGGGAAATTAACAAATTGTCTCAGATAAGTCTTAAGGAACGTCTAGGCTTCATTATAAGACCTAAGAAACACAAATCAACGTGGTGATTTAGTGATTGCTTATTCTCACGGATGACACTATGTATTTTGGACAAGTCATTTCTCTTCCATTTCATAACCTGTGTATGTGTGCCTCTTGTCAGCAAGATGCAGTGATATTAAATGCTACTGAGAACAAGTCAAATTCCAGTCCTATTCACAGCTTTTGTATCCAAAGCAAGCGGTTTGTAATAAATCAGAGGCAAAAAGGAAGGCATTGTCGCCGTGGGAAAGAAAATGCTGCCTGAATGTGAGTGAGAGATGATGAATGATGATAAAATAAATAGAAAAAAATAATGTTATCCCTAATTCAGGCGATACAACTAATTATTCGCATGTGGCCTAAGCTACATATCAGTAAATAGAATATCCCCGATTTCGAGAAACCAAGTGATAATTATTACTCGAAATTCGTTCTACGTAGCAGAATGTGAAAGGTTTAAGCTCTGGTAACATTGCACTTAGTCCAGAAAAAAACACTTGGTCGAATAAATGCGCTCAGTCATATGAAACACTGTTAAGGTGTTGACGGAAAAGGTCATATAGAACGAATAATCGACCAGGATCTGTGTGTTATTATTCTTGAATTACGGGCTTCGTCCAATGCCGCGCGATAAATTCGGTCCCTGTCCATTACTGGCATGGACGCTTTTGAGCGGTAATGTTTGATCGTTAATTGAGCTTGGCGAATCAAAGACAAACTTCTGGGAGCAGCACACACACACACACACACACACACACACACACACACACACACACACACACACACACACACACACACACACACACACACAC